ACCTACCGAGCCAGAAAAAATAAAATAATAGGGTATAAATAATGCTCACGTTATAGCATGGTTGATGGGCTCATCTGAAAGTAATATAGGGATCAACCTGAGCTCTTTCAAAACTGCTCGAGAAGCATGGACAGTTTTTAAAGAAATTTATAATCAGACTAATTGGGAACAAAAGTACCAGTTACTACAGGAACTTCGCTCCCTCAGACAGGGAGAACAGTCAATTCAGGACTTTTACTCCTCCATGAAGTCACTTTGGGATGTTCTTGCAATGATGGAACCTGCAATTGACAATGGTCATGGCGAAAAAATAATCGCCAAATCTCGAGAGGACTTTCAAGTTATTGAATTCTTAATGGTATTCCGTCAAGAATTTAAGAGTGTCAGAAATGATCGGGTGCACAGAAGCTCTCTCCCTACTTTGAATCAAGCTCTCTCTGAGCTAATTGCATAAGAAACCAAGATCAAACGTTTTAAAGGCGATGCAGTTTTTGTGGCAACCCGACATCAGAGGTCTAATGTGCTTAAACAGAATCAAAGCAATTCGTATTATCTTGCTCCCAAGAACATGCAATCTATCAGATGTAACTATTGTAAAGAACTGAGACATTTCAAGTACACTGTCCCAAACAAGAAAAAGCTCGCCTTTGTTGGTGTTGTTGATACAAGTCAACCGTCGATCAAGCACACACCAACTCAAATTGAAGGTCCCAGTCCTACTCTTGCTTCACCATCGATGACATTTACCTTGAAAAAAGTACAGTCTATGCTTTCCCAGTCGCAACTGACCTCATAAACCACTCCCTCCTTTTTAGGTAACTATGTTTCTACCTCTTAGCTGTTTGACTCAGACGCTTCTCACCATATGACCTCCAATGAGTCAATCCTAATTTATTGTAAGCTTTTTTTTTATACTATCTATACTGCTGATGGGGCCACTATGAAAGTATAAAAAATGGGTTTTATATCTCTTACCTCTGACCCTTCTGGTAAATTCATACTTTTTAATGTTTGCTATGTTCTTTCTCTTGCCATGAATTTATTATCTGTTGGTCAGATTAACCGTTCCGATTGTAATGTTGTTTTTTCTCCATCTTCTTGTTACACACAAGATCAGCAGTCAAGGTAATTGATTGGGTCTGAGCGTAAAGTTGGCAATTTGTGCTACTTGGACTATCTGCATATGTCAAACTCTTATGTCTGTGTTGTTTCTATTGTCGACGACACATCCCTATAACATCAATATCTTGATCACATCTCTGCTTCTCGTTTATAATCTTTATTTTCCTGAAATGTGCTTAGTATTGTTAAAAATAAAATTTCTATTGATGTCCAACATTGTGTAATTTACAAATTAGCTTAGTCTCATGCTTTACTTTTTTCTCGAAGCACTTATGTTTCTCCTTTTATGTTCGATCTTATTCATAATGATGAATGGGGTCCTGTACCTATTTCATCAAAAGGAGAGTCCTGTTAGTTTGTAACTTTTATTGATGATCATACTCGTTATACATGGGTTTTCTTTATGAATACTCGCACTGTACTTTTTCAAATCTTCACTCAGTTTTATTTGTATGTCGAAACCCAATTCTCCACTAAAATCAAAGCCCTGTGCTCAGATTATATAGGGGAATATGTCAGTAGGTTGCTTCAATAATTCTTGGTTAAGCACAACATCTAACACCACAAAACATGTCCTTATACACCAGAAGAAAATGGTATTGTTGAACGTAAAAATCGTTATATCTTAGAAACCACAAGATCCCTTTTCTTTTCAACATCTGTCCCAAAAGAATTTTGACAGAAGCTGTTTGTACCTCAGTCTTCCTCATCAACATCATGTCATCCGCTATTTTATCTTGTGAAACACCTTTCAAAAAATTGTTTACACGGCCACCCAATTGTTCTCTCCTACGTGTATTTAGGAGCGCTTGTTTTGTTTTGTTATCCCCAACTGAGAGAGATAAGTTGTCTCCAAAGTTGATCAAATGTTGCTTTATTAGTTACCCTGATCATAAAAAAGGATATAGGTATTATGACCTTGTGACCAAAAGACTTTGGGTATCCCGACATGTGGTGTTTTCTGAGCACATTCCATTCTTTGCTAATAACAATACTTCTTCACCTTCTCACCTTTCTTTTTTGGTCCCTTTCTCTGCTTCTGTTCCTCTTTCCTCTGGTCATTCCACATGTGCCACTCCTTCTAAAGTCCAAGAAGAAACTCCACCATCTCAGGCCGACAGTCCTAATCAAAACCCTACAATTGCTAATCCTCTACCGCTCCCTGCTCTTAGATGGAGTACCCGAGTATCTGTTCCACCTTCCCGACTTGCTGACTATGAAACATTATTATCTCAAGACCAAGCATTCCTTGCATCTGTTCATTCTTTTTCTGAACCTCAGACTTACAAAAAAGCTGCAAGTCAACCTGAGTGGCAACAAGCCAAGACTGATGAGTTGAACGCTCTCGAGTGTATGCAAGCTTGGGACCTGGTCCCTCTCTTGAAATGAAAAACTGTTGTCGGTTGTCGATGGGTATATAAATTAAAACCAATGCAGATGGCAGTCTAGAACGATACAAAGCCTGTCTGATGGCAAAATGTTACAATCAACAGTATGGTATTTACTTTGTAGATTCTTTTCCTCTAGTTGCTCATATGACTACAATTCAAACACTGATCTCAGTGGATTTTGTTAATCAATGGCCTCTCTATCAATTGAATGTCAAAAATGTTTTTCTCAATGGTGATATTGATGCAGACGTCTATATGAAGTTACCTCTTAGTGTTGTGGATCCTCACAATCGCGTATGTAAACTTCGACGGGCCTTATATGGACTCAAACAAGCACTTCGTGCTTGGTTTGAGAAATTTCGTAATGAATTTCTTTCAGTTGGCTTTGGACAAAGTCATCATGATCCAACAATCTTTGTGCCTGAAACTGCTGCTGGACGGGTTCTCTTATCACTCTACGTAGACGACATGATTATCTCTGGCAATGATATGGGCACAATTCAGAAAATCAAACATAAGCTCAATAACATATTTGAAATGAAAGATTTGGGTTTCTTGCGGTATTTCCTTGGGCTCGAAGTTACTTATTCTCCTCATGACTATCTATTGTTCCAACTCAAATATGCTTCCGAGATTGTTTCTGAAGCTCAACTTCAGAATGATACAAAAATGGTTGATACCCCTATTGAGGTCAATGCTAAATTTTAGGCTACCGATGATGAAGCTATTCCTGACCCAACCTTTTGTCGGCAATTGGTTGGGAAACTGATATATCTAACCATCTCACGCTCCAATATTGCTTATGCCGTACATATAGTTAGTCAGTTTTTTAGTGCCCTGTGTTCTGTACATCTCACGTCGTTATAGCAAGGGTACCTGTCACCATGCTTTATTCTTCTCCTCTTCTACCTCACTTGAGCTTCGATATATATAAACTCCGAAGTGATCGCAAATCTACCACAAGATTATGCATTTTTCTCGATGATTATCTCATATCTTGGAAAAGTAAGAAACAAAAAAGAATTGCTCAATCTACCACGGAAGCTGAATACCGGGTTATGACACAAACCACCACTGAGATTGTTTGGCTCCGTTGGCTGCTTGCAGACATGGGTCACTATCTCTACTCCTACTCCGCTTTATTGTGACAATAAGAGTGTCATTTATATTTCTAAGAATCCAGAATTTCACGAGTGCACGAAACATATTGAAGCTGGTTGCCACTATGTTCGTTAATAATATCTCGCAGGCATAATTTCCTTACCATATGTGCCTACTGCAGCACAACTCGCTAATTTCTTCATTCAATCTCATCCCCCACATCCTTTATCCCAGTTTGTTTCCAAACTCTCCATGATTCCTCTCAAATCATCTCGAGTTTGAGGGGGAGTGTGAACAGATATGAGAACGGCCACAAATATGACAAATCTCATTACATAGAAACTGTATCCTAGACATGTCAGTGTCCAATTGTATATTATGTCTACATAGAAACTGTATCCTACAATTTTAGTAAGTATTGGTTGTACAGTCTCTATAAAATATATCATTGTAATATGATTGTAGTATTTAATACATAGATCAATTTCTTCTCACAAGGTGCAACTAAAAAATTCATTAGAAAAGGTTGTTCGATTATAAATAACCCTCAATTCAATTATCTCGACCTCAAGATGTATGTCATGAGAAAAATTAGATTTCAAATCATGAAAATAGTACATCTTGTAATGTATTATCTTGACTGTCAATTTTCAAGATTTTAAAGTATTCGTAGATATGCTCAATCTGCATTATTTTTGAACTTTAAATTTTATTATAAGAGATAGAAAGTAAATTTTCAAGCTTTCATGAAGCTTTCAATTATTGAAACAACATATTTTAGCACTATTTGAAAATGCACCATATTTTGATTGTTTAGGACCTCGGCCTTATACAAACCACACCCTTAAAAAAAAAAAAAGTGAAATTACTCTTAGGATAAATGAGATAATATATTCTGGCGATGTTTATCCTTAGTACAATGCCATCCCAGTTAATCCTAGTCATTAGACGCACTGTTGCCTGACATATGTCATGAAGTATAATAATAATTTTTTGTTGAGCTTTGAATTTACTCAGAAGTAAACTTATTATTATTTGAAATTTAATAGACAAAAATAATTATGGCTTTATAATACTAAAAATAAATAGCCTCTTTGTATAATTTTCCAGATAAATTTTGCCGAGAAAGGAAAGCGGAGGCAATAGCAATCAAGACTGCCTGCTCTAGATTTTTTATATTGAAGCAATTCAACGGCCTATATTATAGTTCACTCCTTCTGTCATGAAATCTGCACCGTTCACTGGAATATACTCAAAAGGGGTTAGGATTCCTCTAGAAAGGAACCCAATACGCGCGACTTGTGTGACAGTGAGGCCTACCCTCGGAGCCCTTCCTCTCTCTCTCTCTCTAAATAGATGCCATATAAATATCTCTCTCTCTCTCTCTCTAAAAAGCCCAATCATTCTTTCCCCTTAGTTTCTCTTTCCTCTTTCTCTCTCCTCAATCCCTATGGTCTTCTCCTGTAAGGAAGAAGCCCCTAGGGTTTCACAGGCTACGGCTATCGGTTTATCTTCCTCTAATTCCATGAACCTTTTCAGCAAGCATTGCTCTTAGAATTTTCGGCCACTTTTCTGGCCATGGAAACTTCTGTGGACGATAATGGAGCGCCTGAGTCATGGGAGCTCGCTGACCTTGATGAGAGCATGAAGAGGTTAATGGTGGCCTGTAACAACAGATCTTCGAGCTCTTCTCAGGCGCCAGAGAATGATTTTCCGGCAAGTTCAGTTCCTGTTCAGGCCACTTCGATGCCTTCTTCTAGTGAATTTTCCGATGATTCTTTGAACCAGGTGGATCAGTTCCTCAGAGAAGCTCTTCAGAACCCTAGAGAACGGCTATCCAGTAAGGCTTCAGATCTTTTGCTATGGTGGTTGGGCCTGGTGATCTTTTGGGTTAGGAATGGTGTTGGGGTTTGGTGATTTTCGGGGAAATTAGAAATTTGTTTCGGTTTGATGGTTTCGTGGGTATGAAGCATGTTTCTAGATGGTTTTATGTGTTGATTTGTGGAAGAGTATTCTTCTCTCCCCTTCTGTTGATTATGCCTTTTTTTTCACATTTAAGCTAATTTTTAGCTTGTTCACTCTCTAGATTCTTTTCTTCCTTCGGTGTCTCTCCCCTTCTCCACTAACTCTCCTGGATTGTGCATTATGAAAGCATAAGTTGCAGACATCTGTTTTGATTTTTTTTTCTTGATAGTTGGTCGATTTTGAGCTTTAAACATCCACTCTAGTTTGTTGTGTTTTGTTTAATTCCATACTTTTTTTTTTTTTGTTAAATTTTTTGCTATAATTTGTGCATATTGGAATATGAGATGCATCCAATGCTTATCAAGTTTGGACAACTGGATTATGCCCAGATATTTGAAGGCTTGTCATTCAGTTTCAGTTTGGATTTTCATGGTCTTTCAAGAATCGCTGTAATTGTTACATCAATTTACTGCCTTGCTTAGAGCATTGCTACTGTACGGGCATATACTTGATGGAGTTCACCCAAGCTATTAAAACTGAAGCTGACTGGGCAGTTCAGCTTTGGGAAATTTTGGCTGGGCCAGTTCCTAATTGAGTTCAACAGCTCCAGCTAGACCCTATAACAAGAAACTAAGAAAGAATAGAGGAAGTAAAGCTATTCATATGGAACTGGCTATTTGGGGTTGCATTAATTGTTTCTTTGTGAAAATTTGAAACTCAAAAAAATATTCATTTCATATTTTATATTTATTTTGCTTAGAAATTTTTTTTGTTGCGTCATAATTTTGTATGTGAGTTGTTACAGAGAATTTACCGTTTATTGTTGCACACAATTTATCATGGCTTGGGTCAAAGTATAGGAAGTGGTTTAAGGAACTCATATAGTTAGGTTTTGCATCTATAATTAATAGTAGGGATATTAGTAATTGGTGATTTCACTCGATCCAAGTCACGTGATATGGTTCAGAGCATCGTGCATTTTGCGATGGATGCACTTTGACCTACAAAATGGCTTTCTTAATTATATGATGGTTTGTAGCTTGTGCCACCTCGATCATAATCATAACTGTTAGAGGGTCAAAAGAAGTGTGGGTGCTTTATACTCAATGTAACTAACATAAATTTGATGATCTGGAGACAGGTTTCCAGGAGCATCTGTTTTTTCTCATTTAAAAAGGGAATATTGGATGGGGAAACTGAAATATCAACAAAAGAGAAAGATGCTGGACATGGAAATTATATTTGGGAGTTTAGATTTATGGTAATTATGGTCCAAAGTAGACGGTAGATTTTAGGAACTTGGCAATGCCATCCGCATGACCCTCTATGTGCCATTTGTGTACTTTTTTTTTTTGATATAGTTAACATTGTATAGATGGTTTAGAATAATACAAAAGGTCCCCAAAGGGGTTACAACAAAAAACCAAAAAAACCAAAAAGTCACCGAGGCGAGTGACGGTTGCCGAAAGACCACAAGAACGCCATTTGTGTACTTGTACTATGCTTTGGACTCTGGCAACCACCAAGAACATTTGATAACTTGGATGATGTAGGTTTATTGTCTGTGTGGAACCATAATGGTGTGCGTTTGAGTGATGCATTTTATAATATGGATTAGTGATTTTGTGTTAAAGGTGTCATACACATGTCCTCTCTGGAGTCAAAGACAACATTGCCACTTTGGAAAGCCAGACTATTGTGAAGTGGGACTAACTGCTCTGGTAAGGAGGAATTATTGCAACTAATGTTGTTTGAATTGAAGTTAGTCTTCGGGAACTTGTGGAAAAGGATGTGAGTCATGTGACTTTTGCTATATGTCAGGTTTAATTGCATTTTCATTGTGTTCCTCCCAAATCTCTAGGAAAAAAGACAAAAAAATAAAAAATAAAAAAGTGATTGCTGGAATTTTCTGTTTATAGCATCAATTTGTGTTCCATATTGCTATTGCACATCTCCTTATGTGGTTTCTTCCTTTGTGGTGTCTAAAGTTCCTTTTTGTTCCTTCCTGTCCACAATATCTATTACATGAAAGGAAAGAAAATGGGCCACAAATCTACTCATTGCATGTTAGTATCCTGGTTTATCCAGCACCTAGGAGCCTTCTGCATCAAACAAAGCCTTTCTCCTTTACATCAAGTCACCAATTCCCTTTGAGTGCTGAGAGGAAGAAGGGATAATCAATTTCCTCCTTGTCTATCTATTGGGAATTTCTCTAGGACAGAGGGTTGTTTCCTTGATGTGGGAACTTTCTGAATTCCAGATGGGCTTTTTAGATTGTGGTTCGTAGGGGCCTGTGATGGTGCTGATTTGTAATGGACTTCGGCAACTTGCCGTCTTTTGGGTGTGTGGGAGATGTGTAACTACCGTAACCTTTTGAAGCACAGGAGGGGGAATGGAAAGGGTGGTGGTTTGTGATTTGATCGAAATGCATCTTATCTCTTGGGCAGGCCATCAAAGAATTTAGAGGGGTTAGAGTTGTGCGGATCTAATATGGTATTGCAAATATAAAACACTCAATGAAGTTCACTGTATTCGGTTAAGGAAGTAGATGATATCATTCAATGTGCTTTCAAAAGCTAAAATTTAATTGGAGCTTGTTTTGTATTAATAGGAGTAAGGTGGGTAATGATGAAAAAATTAGGTACAGTCAAGAAGGTATATGCTGTACTGTGTTTTGAGTGGCTATCCTGTAGAGGTGACGGCTTTCCGGTGGAGGCGGCGATCTAGAGGTTTAAGGATTCTTGCATCTTATTTCTTGTATCCTATGATCTCTGAAATGATTTGTAGAGCTGGTCGTATACTGTGGAGGCTAATGAGATGCTAATGAAGCACTTGGCTTGTGCATGGCAATTGAATTGTACACTTAGAAGGGTGTCTTTAGACTGCATTAGACTGTATGAGATTTTTTTCCTCTTCATGACTAATAAGCATAATATCTCTCTTGTAAAGTTTCTCTATTTGCAACTAAATTTGTTAACAAATATTAATAGTCCTGTTATTCTTTTTAGACAAGTTATTGTTGTTTTTCCGCTCTAGCATTTCATAGCCATGTCAAATTTCTTTTGCCTTTTCTCTTCCTGCTGAATGTAAAGTTTGACTTGGTTGTATGTTGCTGAGACTGCTGGTGACATTTAGATAATGTTGATCCGCTTACTATCTGCATTATTATATTTATCATATTCTGACTCCTTTATGCTCTAGTTTTTCCTGTTAACAGCTGGCTTTGGTGATTGAATAGATTAGTCATCATATTGCACTTAGTAGAATATATACTCAGCACTCTCTCTCTCTCTTTCTCTCTCTCTCTCTCTCTCTTTGTTTGGTGAAGTAACTCAGCAATTCTCTATCTCTCTGTGCAATTGATTTTAAACTCCTGTTCCTGTGTCAGTCCTAAGAATGGAACAAGATGTCGAGAAGTTTATACGTGACCCCAGGCAACAACAACTTGAGTTCCAGCAGCTGCCCACCTCCTACCTGCGCCTTGCTGCTCACCGTGTTGCCCAACACTATGGCCTCCAGTCCATGGTCATGCTTGACAACAGCTTACCTGATGGATCAGGCTCCCGAATAGTCATTAGAAAGACCTCAGATTTCCGCGTCCCTCTTATACGTTTAGCTGATATACCTGCAAACCTCCCTCAAGATGAAAGCAACAATGTGGTTAAGGTCGCCATCAAGCAAAGACCGCAAAAAAGAAGCCAAACCATCAATAGTGGCAGTACCCATTCTTCCAAAGTAAACCTCTCTAAAACTGTAGAAGAGAGAAAGGAAGAGTACAATAGGGCAAGAGCCCGGATATTCAGTTTAAGTAATAGTAGCAACACAGTGGGAAAATCAGATGGAGAGTCTACTGTTCCCGATGGATTTCAACAGGGCTCATCGGTATTGGTTAGGATGGAAGATAAACCAGTAGTTGGTGAGAGCTTGGAAAGCAACCATGGCAAAGGGGTGGGAGAGTCTTCTTCAGGGAGCGGTAGGGCACAAAGGAGTAGAGCTGAGAAAGAGATTGCTAATACTAGTATATATAAGATGAATAGTAGGGTAGCTATCTTTCGGGACCGGGAGGTTGACCGCAAGGACCCCGATTATGACCGCAGTTATGATAGGTAATGTGCTGCTTTCACACTATTGAACCGAATGGAATTTGAATCGGAAGAAATAGGTAGCAGAATATATCTGCTTTATTTATTTTACCCATTAAGATATCACATGTTTTTTGGAAACAAAAGATATTTTTCACCATATCACAATATTTTATCCTATATTTTTCTTCTTGTATTTAATTTTAAAATTAAATTATGCCTAAAATGTAACTATTCATGCTTAAACAGTTACTAAATTATAGTAAATCTATGAGTATAGAGCAACTGAATTTAACACTATAAAAACTAATTTTTCTTAGTAATATTTTTTATTGCTTATTTGTTTATGTAAAATTTCCTTTATTGCTGTCCTCGAACACTTTTCTGAAAACAACAGTATGAAAATATCCTAAGAAACTATGTTGCTGAGAATATCCGGGCACAGGTTTAGATCTCGCGGGTTAAGTTACCATGGAAAAATAAAATCAAGTATGATGCACATTTACAAATATTGTAAGGGATTGTATACAATCAGACCATTTAACTTTGGTACAAGGAGGTCACAATTACCTATAATCGTCTATAATCATATGACGTGAAATCTAGTAGTTTGGGGGTGTTGCAAAGCTCGAGAAATTTCGTTTTGAACATTGAGCTTGGTCAATAGAATAAATGTTCACATCTAATGGTCAAAATTAATTGTTACTTCTTCATTCAGAATTTGGGCCTCTTCATTTATCAAAAAAAAAAAATAGTATTTTCTTCTTATGCTTCTTTTTTTTTTTGATATAGTGCATGATTACTATCACAGGTATATGCAAAGGTTTGATCCTGGATTTGGTTATAGCACTGGCGGTCCTTACACTATACAACCACTGTACTCCCCAGCTATAAATTATAACACTGAATTTCCTCAGCTTGGAGCAACTTCTCATAGGGCACAGATACCTATTGACCATCAACAACCTCATCCTATTCCTCCTCAGCATATTCGTGGACCTTGGGGACCTCCATCACAAAATCCGCTTGGCTATGGACCCCCAGATAACTTGATCCCACCCTTCAATCCTAATCATGTTGGTGCTCCCTCCCCATCTCCTGTCTACTTGCACTCCTCGCAGTATGCATGCCCCCGATTGCCTGGGGTGCCATTTGTTCATCCTCATGAGCATGTCCAATCCTTTGCACAGGTGAGAGAGAGAGAGAGAGCATCCTCATGAGCATGTCCAATCCTTTCAGCAGGAGCGAGAGAGAGAGAGAGAGAGAGAGAGAGAGAGAGAGAGAGAGAGAGAGAGAGAGAGAGACTACTACTACTACTTACTTACGTTACGTTTACGTTTAGTTACGTTTCGTTACGTACGTACGTACTACGTAACGTACGACGACGACGTACGTACGGAACGGTTAC